TATATAAATCACAGACATTGTCATATGATGTATCTATATAAATCACTTGTCATAGGATGTAGTCGATATAAATCACAGACATTCTCATATGAGTTAGTCTATATAAATCACAGACATTTTCATTTGATACAGTCTATATGAATTCACAGGACAGTTCTACATATGATGTAGTCTATATATCGACAGATATTCTCATATGATGTAGTCTATATAAATCACAGACATTCTCATTTGATGAAGTCTATATAAATCACAGACATTCTCATTTTATGAAGACTATATAAATCACAGACATTCTCATATGATGTAGTCTATATAAATCACATTGTCAAATGATGTAGTCTATATAAATCACAGACATTGTCATATGATGTAGTCTATATAAATCACAGACATTCTCATATGATGTAGTCTATATAAATCACAGACATTCTCATTTGATGAAGTCTATATAAATCACAGACATTCTCATATGATGTAGTCTATATAAATCACAGACATTTTCATATGATGTAGTCTATATAAATCACAGACATTCTCATATGATGTAGTCTATATAAAGCACAGACATTGCCATATGATGTAGTCTATATAAATCACAGGCATTATCATATGATGTAGTCTAAATAAATCACAGACATTGTCATATGATGTAGTCTATATAAATCACAGACATTCTCATATGATGTAGTCTATATAAATCACAGACATTCTCATATGATGTAGTCTATACAAATCACAGACATTCTCATATGATGTAGTCTATATAAATCACAGACATTCTCATATGATGTAGTCTATATAAATCACAGGCATTATCATATGATGACGCCTTCATAACCGGAAACAGCTGTAAATATCGACGTCTGATATAAAATAAATCAACCTGGCTGTCCTTACATCGATATTTTCTAGTGCCAAGATTTGACTGGGTCAGCCTGAACGCTAAGATCAATTCTAAGAAATTCCCCTAGATCCGGAAATTAAGACCTTACAACTGGCAGGCTAAAGTCGGGATACTATGCTACCCCGGCCGCCAAAGAGTTGAAGGAAGAAAGGTTAACAACAGATCTTACGTGTCCGTTCTTGTCCAGCATGTTGTTGGTCAGTTTCACTTTCTCAAAACTGACCGTCTGTTTCAGCAAGTGCTCGCCTGTGAATGGACTGTCAGGATGAAGATGGAGGCGAGCAGGTAGAGGAGGATCTGCCTTTCCCGCCACCAGCCAGGAGGATCTGCAGGGAAAGGTATGGATGGATTAGGCAGGTTTTGAAACGTAATGTTTACTTGGTTGATTTCATTTGGTTGTGTCTCTCTCTGATCTCTTCTTCTTCTTCTTCTTCTTCTTCTTCTTCTTCTTCTTCTTCTTCTTCTTCTTCTTCTTCTTCTTCTTCTTCTTCTTCTTTTTCGCGTTCATCAGCTGTAAACTCTGGCGGAAAGTTCTGGTTGCTCGTCCACTACTGAACTGCAGTCCTGCTCCAGAGCCTGAGTGTTGCGTTTGCATCAGTTTTACAGATCTCATTCTCTTGAATACAGACTGTTGGTTCCTTGCCTCTCCGGCAGATGCACTCCGACTTCAAAGGAAGCTCCCCAATTAGTCGACTCTTACGACATGCTTTTGGGGAGGCAGTGGGTCTATTCTTGTTTTCCCCACAATGGGTCCCCGAAACCCACACGGGAAGGGGGGGGGGGGGGCTCTCTCTGATCTGATGTGGCGAAGACGAAAAACAAAATCAGACAAGCTCAATCAGCTTCTTTCGACAAAAGAATGATGAATGTTAAATTAGGAATCGACATCGACTCCCATAAGCGCTACGTCCCTATCTTCTACAACAAGCGAAGCGTTTTAGTTCCGATGAAACCAGTACCTGTCTGATTGTAAATCCGTCTCGCCCTCCCCCTGAATGTTGAGCGTTTGCTATATCAGACCATAACTATCTATGTGTGCCTCCGCACTGTTCACTAGCTCCAAAGAACCCTCACAATATCTAGTTTTCATACACCACTACACCACCAAGTAGTGCAGAACCGACCAGTCTATGTGCCTGCATATTTCCAAACACACCGACATATTCTGGAGAAAGGTCTAAATGACGCTGACTACGCAGAACCTCTGAATTGATGCTTGCCACTTTACACGGAGCATGCCTGTCTCCACCTTTCTCAAAATTCTCTGCGAGTCACTTACAATCACGACATATGTGTATAGCTGGTCTTCAAGCCTGCAGAAGGCAGCAGTGACTGCCTTCCCCTCCATTCTCAAACTAGACGTTATGATATCGTATGCAAGCAAGGCTTTGTTGCACTAAGCGATCTCCGTTCGCTTTTGCTATGAACCCTCATGCACTTCGTCTGCCTCTAAACACAGAGCCATCTGTAATTACAATCACATCACTTGGGCGAGAGTTGTCATGAATTATTTGTTGAACTTCTGATTTTGCAGCCCCGGCTAAAGTGATTAGAAACCTACACGAGTCTGAAACTGCCTCCACGTGTTCCCAAATGATCCCTAAAGGGGAGGCTTCTATCGAAAATGATACCTGGGTACCTCAGTTTGCTTTCTCTTTTGATGTTACTGTTATTAATTGTGAGGCTTGGAACATTAGCTCTTGCAATTCTATTGTCCAGAGAGCACCACAAAACAGCCGCCTTGATGACAGCACCCATTTCTGCACACCAGTCAGTCACTTTGTCAACAGTTGCCTACAGCTCCCGGGCTATCCGTTTCGACAAAGGAACTTTTGGTTGAAGTTGTTACTATGTTTCTTGCGAAAGATTTATTGGTTAAAATTTGGTTATTATGCCATATTCAATGGCTCAGTGTCTATCTGTTTATTGTAGATTGAGTCTCTCCACGCCAGTGCTTTTCAACCAAGTTAACCCAGGGGCCAGGATATTGAAATGGGGATAGTCCCTGGCGAGAAGCCAGAGCACACAAACATGATTAATACAAAACAAATGGCAAACTGTCGACTCGTGCGGGAAGTTCTAGATGTTCATCCACTTCTGCACTTTAGTCTTATTCTAAAGCTTTGGATGTGCGTGCACATCGTTTTGCAGATCTGGGATATTTTTATGCAGACTGTTTATTCTTTGCCTCTCAGGCAGATGCCCTCAGATTCCGAGTTAGAGTAAAGCAAGTAAAGGCCCCTTTGTCATGCCTATATTTGTATAGACCAATCGACATAAGATGGGCGATATGGTCGGCAACACGCCGGCCGCCTTTACTTTCCGGGACTGCACCCGGTACCCACTCAAGGCTGGGTCGACCTGGGAGTCGAGGTCACTTTTGAAGAAGAAAAAACGTCCAGCTTTGTCAGGGGGCGAACCCACAACCTTCGGATCAGCTGCGAGCGTCTAGCCTCTACGCCACTGTGATTCCCTCCTGAGTCAGAGGGCAGTGGGTTTATTATGTTTTCGCTCGCAGTGGGCAAGCCGTGGCAGTATTACACAGCACATTAACTGCCCATTTCCGCATGATCACTCAATTGGCTTGCCTTGTTTACTCTAAAGCAAAGGTAACACACATACGTTTCGAACAAAACACGCAGCTGAAGCTGCTGAATCAAAAGATCAGTGCGACTTGACTTCGAAATGATCCATAACTCACATCCGACTGAAGTACATGCATTGTCTGAACTTGATCTCTGGCCGTAATGTGTTCTTCAGTCCTAGTATTTGTAATATTTCTTTGATCCTATGCTAACACTTTAAATCACCGTTTATCATGGTATTACCTTCACTTTTACTTTTGTGTAACTTTGTCATGTTAACTCTTTCTGTCATAGGCAGAGCACCACGTGTGAAACTAAGTCTCCTCTTCTTCGTATAGTTCACCTGCTGTGAACTCACTCGGGCTGTGGTTGTTCGTCCATCTATGGATTTGAGTATTTTTTCTTAGTCTAGTCATCCCCTTGCGGGATGCAATTTTTCCATATTTGAAGCCCTACTCTGGCTCTTCTCAGGGGCCGCAAAATAGCCCGGTCATAAATATGGTATAATGGCTAAATGCGGTTTCTGGGACCTCTCCACGGGTGATCCTCATCCACATGGTGGCACTTTGTGTTATCGAGTGTTTGTCGCTTGTGTGGTGTCCTGGTGGGGTAAAAGAAAAAGATAGAGATGGATAGTCTTTTTCCAGGACTTGTGTCTTCTTGAGTTTATCGTGCACATCCTTCGTGTGTGTGTGCGTGTGTGTGTGTGTGCGTGTGCGTGCGTGTGTGTGTGTGTGTGTGTGTGTGTGCGTGTGTGTGTGTGCGTGTGTGTGTGTACGTACAGATTTAGCGTATCTGCATGCAGATTGTTTCTTCCTTGTATCTTAAAAAGATGCACTTTTACTGAAACTCCTGCGACATGCTTGCTATAAGATCAGTAAATATTATTATCTGTTCACCATAACAAAGCACCGGAACCCAACAAGGGTAACTTCCGAGCATTGAATCTGGCTCACTGTTTCAACAGGCAAGCAAAACTAACCACTAGGCCACATACCTGTGATATGCATATCTATAGCGCTTGCTGTCCACGGCCACAATGTCCATGAGAACACAGTAACGTGCAGACGGGTCAAGGTCGGTGAAGGACACACGAACTGTGGGAAACATTCGCCTGTGGAAAAGAGAATGGCTACAATATTATTGCAGTCTATTACAGAAGACGTGGCCAACATTGAAATTTGTATCCCAATAACCCCGGTATAAGCTGTGGAAATTGTTGGCATTGAGGTCTGACACAACAGATCAGCATCATGGCACATGGGTAGTACCCATAAGTGCTCCGTTCTTTCTTTTAACCCAAGTCGGAGTCAAAAGAAGCTCATCACGATGGACAGGCTCTGTAGCACCGGCAAGGATCCTGAAATACTTTGGTCAAATTTGTAACTCAGCGGCGCCGTTAGGCTACTCTTTTCGATTTCCGACTGCCAAGGGATTTTTTTTTTAATGTGCGCAACAATGCACATGGGTTTCGGACTTCACTACCCAGAGACCAGGGGAAATTACTAGAAGTCTAAGTCCACGTGAAAAGAATCCCAGCCCTTACCGGGGATTAAACACAGGCCCTCTAGCACTCGAGGCGGACACCATGCCTCGAGACCACACAGGACCCCCCCCCCCTCTCCCCCGACATGTTGGCATGCAACCTGTTAATAAACATGTCATTGCAATAAAATATAAACACACATCTAGTTTTCATTTTGCCTTTTCTTTGCGTTTTATAAAAATATTAGATAATAATTTAAAACAAACAATCAGCATGCTGACATTTAATTGAGTTAAGGTAACTTTTCAGATCATCGAACTGCATGCGTTCCAGAGGAGTTTCAGGATCATGTGGTCATCTTTAGAATTAGCCGCCTGTGAGTTAGATGAACATATTTTATTATTGTATCCCGGATAAGCTATCAAAATAATCACTACGCACCCCTGAACAGATGAACTGATTTTCAAACAATTTCCAGGTGTGTTCAGTTACTGTGTATTATATATATATATATTACTCTGAGGTACATAAATTATAGGTCAAACAAAGATCAAGGAAATACGCCGCTTTAAGAAAACAGCAGCACGTGTGCAGTTGTGAAGCATAACATCATAAGGACATGGGAAATCTAAAGCCATCTGCAAAAATTGTGTTGACCCGTGTTGGAGTTTGCGAGATATTTGGTAAAGTATGAAGGCACAACATTTGAAACCAGTTATAGTTCTGTAAAGGTAATTTTAAAAATGGCCTGAATTTTTGTAAAGTTAGTCTCTAATGGGTCATTTATTGCTAGACTAATATTTTGATGGGCCGGTCAGCACTGAAAAAAGGGGGAGGGGTGATACGGTCAGTACTACCTCTGTCGTCTTTAGTTCCTGTTGTGGCTGATTTGGTGATGGAGTTTGGGGTTCGTTGGGGGGGGGGGGGGGGGGGGGGGGAGGGGTATTTGACCATATTTAACCCAGCTGTAGACAGCGTCGGTTACAATTATGGTCTGGTTTTATCAGTGCTAGGTTCAATGGCTTAGATGGTTTGCTGTGCCAATAGTTGTGGCTTATTGTCACTGTTTGATTTGTTATTTCTGAACATGGTTTCTCTTTGCTAATGGCGTGGTCCTGCTGGAGGCTCCGTTTGTTTACGTCCTGTGACATTGCTTTGTAACTATATTGGAAGGGGCAGAAGAAAAAGAAGAAGAAGAAGAAGAAGAAGAAGAAGAAGAAGAAGAAGAAGAAGAAGAAGAAGAAGAAGAAGAAGAAGAAGAAGAAGAAGAAGAAGAAGCAGAAGAAGAAGAAGAAGAAGCAGAAGAAGAAGAAGAAGAAGAAGAAGAAGAAGAAGAAGAAGAAGAAGAAGAAGAAGAAGAAGAAGAAGAAGAAGAAGAAGAAGAAGAAGAAGAAGAAGAAGAAGAAGAAGAAGAAGAAGAAGAAGAAGAAGCAGCAGAAGAAGAAGAAGAAGAAGAGAAAGAAATATAACGTAGAAACTAAATACTGAACAGTGTTTATGATAGTCGTCATCCTCTTCAACATCATCCTCCTCAACGTCATTATCATCCTCATCATCATTATCATCGCCATCATGTGCAATGTAAAGTTTTGTTTTTGATAGTCATATCATCAGAAGTTCATATAAAAAAATTCAAGTTTGAAAATTTATTATTCACCGCCAATTAACGAGGCAGTTTGCGCTCTAGTTATTGTTCTGACATTCTCAAGGTAACGCCCTAATCCAAACACAGCAACATCACCAGTTAGACGTCACCTGCACGTTTGCAGTTCAGAATCTAAAGAAATCAAGACCATATGATGCTCTTTACACCAACAACCACACACGACAGTCAGCCATGTGCCTCCACTACTGTCGACCCTCGCAAAAGAAGAATATCAAAAAACAACAAGAAGACCTCCTCCACGGTCAAGACTCTTCCACCTTAAAGTCTACACTCTACACGATCCCGGCAAATAAAATGTGATGACATACAGCTCTCGATAGAAACTTCGAAAAAGGCATCCCCCGACTCATTAAAGACGATTAAGGTTGAAAATAAAAATTCAGGTGCTATGCAGTAGTCATAAAATCTGGCACCTCCTTCTGAATGCTGGGGCCTGATTTATCTATCGCCAGATTTCAAATGGACTGGAGCAAGTCATTAAACGAGTGAGAAGTAAATGATTGGGAAACGTTCTTACGAGGGCTGTGTGCGCGCTGTTCATGGCACCTGTGTGGAGACTCACAAAGGGAAACCGAATCATGAATTTTTGTGTTCGTTAGCATTCATTGTCCAACAGATATGTTATCTGGTCTACAGAAGTCATCTATCCCAGCCGTGGAAAGCAGGGAGAAGAAAGCGTTTAACAGCTTTTGGCGAGAGTTTGAGGGAGCGGTGTGCATTAGTTGGACAGATTTAGATGGATTAGGAAGGGGCTACATATGGGAGGAGGAGAACTGCCGAGATTGATGTGACTGGGGAATAGTTGAAGAAGGAGAGAGCCAGGGAGAGGAGGAGAGGAGAAAGGGGAGAGAGTGAAGGGAAAGAGATGTGGAAAGGAGATAAATGGAGAGAGGAAAAGGGGGACAGAAAGGAAAGCTAGTAGAGAAGGAAGGAAGGGTAAGAAGGGGGGGGGGGGTTGATAGAGAAAGAAGCCATGCAGATTGACATACATACATGCAGACAGAAAACAGAGTCAGAGACGACGTTTACCAGCTTTTGGCGAGAGTTTGAGCCAGCGCTGTGCATTAGTTTACACAGGTTTAAATAGACTGGAATAAGGCTACAGATGGGAGGATAGGAATTTAATAAGAGAATGGTGTGACTGGGAACTAGTTGGAGGGTGGGGCGGAGCTAGGGAGATGTGGGGTCAGAGGAGGAAGGGACAGTGGGAAGAAAGACAGAAAAAGAAGGGACAGAGAGAGAGAGAGAGAGAGAGAGAGAGAGAGAGAGAGAGAGAGAGAGAGAGAGAGAGGTTAGTGAGAAGAAGAGCAGACACATACACAGACAGACATCTCCGTGTTAGTTCCTTCGTCAAATGTCTCATGAACAAGAATAGATCTACTGTCTTCTCTAAAAATAACGTTCTGTTCAAGAAGAAAAAAATCAAAAACTCGACCACGTTCAATCTGCTGTTAGTACCCGAAGCTGCCAACAGTCTCCGGTTATATTTGTTGTCTGGTTTATTTGCGCCACTTGCGTTCCTAATAATATTGTATGTGCGCTAGTTCTCTGGCTTTATGTCCCTCTCCTAAGCTGGGCCGCTCTTTCTATCTTAGTCCCACTGAGTTTTTTTTTTTTTTCTTTTTTTCCCCCACTGATTTTATTGTGTCATCTACTGTGTATTATCTTGCCCTTGTGTCATTTACCGTGTATTATCTTTATCTTGCCCCTGAGTCATCTACTGTGTATTATCTTTATCTTGCCCTTGTGTCATTTACCGTGTATTATCTTTATCTTGCCCTTGTGTCATCTACTGTGTACTATCTTGCCCTTGTGTCATCTACTGTGTACTATCTTGCCCTTGTGTCTTCTACTGTGTACTATCTTGCCCTTGTGTCATCTACTGTGTACTATCTTGCCCTTGTGTCATCTACTGTGTATTATCTTGCCCTTGTGTCATCTACTGTGTATTATCTTGCCCTTGTGTCATCTACTGTGTATTATCTTGCCCTTGTGTCATCTACTGTGTATTATCTTGCCCTTGTGTCATCTACTGTGTATTATCTTTATCTTGCCCTTGTGTCATCTACTGTGTATTATCTTTATCTTGCCCTTGTGTCTTCTACTGTGTATTATCTTGCCCTTGTGTCATCTACTGTATCTATTCTACTGTCATTTACTGTGTATTATCTTGCCCTTGTGTCATCTACTGTATATTATCTTTATCTTGCCCTTGTGTCTTCTACTGTGTATTATCTTGCCCTTGTGTCATCTACTGTATATTATCTTTATCTTGCCCTTGTGTCATCTACTGTATATTATCTTGCCCTTGTGTCATCTACTGTATATTATCTTGCCCTTGTGTCATCTACTGTGTATTATCTTTATCTTGCCCTTGTGTCATCTACTGTGTATTATCTTGCCCTTGTGTCATCTACTGTGTATTATCTTTATCTTGCCCTTGTGTCATCTACTGTGTACTATCTTGCCCTTGTGTCATCTACTGTGTATTATCTTTATCTTGCCCTTGTGTCATCTACTGTGTATATACTTTATCTTGCCCTTGTGTCATCTACTGTGTATTATCTTGCCCTTGTGTCTTCTACTGTGTATTATCTTTATCTTGCCCTTGTGTCATCTACTGTGTATTATCTTGCCCTTGTGTCTTCTACTGTGTATTATCTTTATCTTGCCCTTGTGTCATCTACTGTGTATTATCTTGCCCTTGTGTCATCTACTGTGTATTATCTTTATCTTGCCCTTGTGTCATCTACTGTGTATTATCTTTATCTTGCCCTTGTGTCATCTACTGTGTATTATCTTGCCCTTGTGTCTTCTACTGTGTATTATCTTTATCTTGCCCTTATGTCATCTACTGTGTATTATCTTGCCCTTGTGTCATCTACTGTGTATTATCTTGCCCTTGTGTCATCTACTGTGTATTATCTTGCCCTTGTGTCATCTACTGTGTATTATCTTTATC